TATGTATACATAATAGAACTGCGCCAACCTTTCTTCCTTAAGTTTGTTTAACATATTTGCAAATTCCCAGTAGTTTAACACCATTAGCACATTCAAGTCTACCGGGACAATTTTATTTGTCCTAATTGAAAATTTTGTACCTATAAAAAGTTAGGAGCAACTATTAGAAGTAAAAAATAAAGGTTTAACAAATATGTGTCATTCTTTTTTTGACTATCCTTTGATTCAAATATAGACAAGTCTTCAGACTTAAAGAAAAAAAAAGAGAACAAAATAAAACAAACCTGCTTGTGTTCCTGAATATCCAAACCATCGCGAACTGAAATCAAGACCGGACTCACAAGCGCTAGCTATAGAAGACCAAATGTTAGTTGATTTATCATCTCCGTGATATCCGTTATCAAGATCAACCAAGTAATTTTCTGGACGCGGACAATTAGTTATTGCCTATCAGAAATAAGTTAAATTCAATGCAAAAAAAATTTGATAGACTTCTAAAGTATTATAAAATGAAACGAAGCAGTCGTTGAGCCTCTCTTTGAACTTAATTGCATGCAGCACGAAGACCCACTCTGTACTGAAAAAGCGTATAGTTATGCCCATTTTTAGTTACTATTACTGAACGATTTGTACGCCACCAAGCAAGTTCTTTGTCGATATAAGGTATCATTCGAGACAAAAATGTTGCATTATTGGTTGCAGAGTAATAATCTGCAACCATTTGCGTAAACAGTGGTGGTTGAGTTCTCCTTGTCAGCCTAAAAATCCCCTTCCTTAAAGACATTCAGCAAAGCGCATAAATTTGTCACCAATGAATAACTTTAAAAAGAGCAAAATCAGGAAGCCTCCTCCTACAAATGACTTGTCGTAGTAAATTTAAAAAGCTTCAGAAAGAAGGAAAACTTATTGTATAGTGCCTGCGTTTGGTATAAATCCATGGAATTGGATAATGTATGCAAAATTTTCAAGCATTTTTCGAACTGTTTGAGTCATATTCGAAAACAAAAGCCCTGTAAGCATCCAAGTATTTTCTTTTTCGTTGATTAGGTTAACCTTTAGTCCCTCAAAACCGTTATTGAAAGATCTATATACTTTGAAAGTGCAAACCTTTGATAATCCAGTACGAATCCCAGTAAAAATAGATTTGAAATTGTCCTCCAGGTACCACAAATGAATTTGGTACTGCTAACACAGGGAACCGATCCGGAAAATGTTTCACCTGTGGTATAAACTCTCGACCAAGTGATTTCCATATTTCATTCAGCTTATAAGTAAAGTTCCTAAACTTTATTTCCAGTAGGCCCTATGCTTTTAAATAAGTTTCTTTTGATATTTTTACTAAAAGTGTTTTTCTATGAAAACCTCGCTCAAATATAACGATAACAAATAGAATACAATACTCAAAAATCTACCATTTACAATTTCGTATCAAAAAACCATATTCTGTGCATAAGAAGAATACGATCACACTTATTTTAACAGCTTTTTCTTCGCTAGCAAGAAACGTTGCGCATCATTGCTTTTTTCCACAAATTTGCGAATTCCGATAAAGTCTAGTAACTCTATACATCTTACTCGTCTACTTGAAAAAAAATTCGAGAAACGTGCGAAGATGCATCGAATAGCTAGCTGTACAACGCCAAAAATCGACAGAAAAGGTTGTGATGGAAAAGTGAATAGTGTACAAATAACAGCAATGAAAAATTTGTGTGCACACCAAATGAGAAAGCAACAATTGAAGCTTTTTTGAGGAATGATTAAGTAAAGCTGGTGTCTGCCAATACCTCAGAGCAAAGAAATATGCCATACCTTAAAGAAATATCTTTCAATAAACGAACATTTTTTGGTTTCTCTGTCCAATCACTAAGCGTTGCTGATTGCAAATACGGAGAAGATACAAAATTTTCGTAGCAAAATGTTTTAAATTCATCCTTCTTTAGAGGGTATTTCAACCTAAAGAAGAATAATACCAGACAAAATGAAAAAATTATTAGATATATCTTTGGCAGATTCTATTACCACTCTCATTTTATTCGACTCTCTTTACAGCTTTTACAGTAAAATTTTTAAAACAACGAACATGATGTTTCTTATGTAATAGCACGATAGAAATAAACAGTAAAAGTTTTCTTCAGTTTATCTGGAGGAACTATATATTTTTGCAAC